GCCGCCATCTCCCTGCCGCAGAGGTGAGCACAGTGTGGCCCCAGCTCTGAATCGAGGGCACACGGTGGCTCTGGGATGCACAGCCCCACCCGGGGAACAGGAGGTGCATCATGGGGGCAGGCGCCCCGGCCCCAGAGAGGGAACAGGGCTGCCCAGGGACACCCTCAGGGGCCTTCAGTGGACAAGAAGTGGAGGTTCACACCGGGGGGCCCTGGGTGTGTGTTGCGATTCCCACAGGCCCCCACTGCACGGGGCAGCCGCACGCGGAGTAGCCATGCTGTGTTTCTGCCCCCATTCACTTTGAAATCAGAATGGTCTTGGCCGTGGCCTTTGACCGGAACATTCATCCCAGAGCATTTTGCTGTTCGGTTTTCGGATCCACAAAGCGTGTTGTGAGTGAGCCGCGTGGAGAATAACGCAAGTGCCTCCCCCTCCACGTAGAAGCACCTCCCTGTCGGTGTCGCTTCCTCTGCTCGGGGAGGGCGGGTGGCCGGGAGCTGTGTGGCTCTTGCCAGCTTGGTTACAGCCCCGAAGACAGCACCGAGAAACCCAGGAACCGAACGGAGTGCGCAGCCCTGACTCAACTGTGTCATTTCTAACCAGGACTCAAATGCCCACCACATGCCCGTCCCGCTGGGGCTTTTGATGGGGCCCGGACCGCTCGTCTGCGGTGGGGAGAAGGGCTCACAGAGGCACATGGTCACCCTGGGTGGGTGCTGGGGCCCTGGAAACAGCCAAAGGCACTCTGTTCTAGAAAGCCCATCAATCACGCCCTGTCCTCACCGCGCGGCCGCAGACCGTCCCCGGGGTCAGCCGTGAAGATCCTGGGAGTACTCGCCTTAGCTCCGTGCGGAGGGGGCGGCACTTGCAGCCCACAGAGTTGCATAAGGAGTTTCTTAGGCTGCCAGAAACAAGATTAGAAGGAGTGATTTTTAGCTGGTGGCTTGGAGTGCATATGTCCCCGTTGGTGTGTGATGGGTGTGAGTTTGTAGTGAATTTCTTTCCCTCTTCAGCTGTCCTCAGATACGAAGGGGATTCAGAACGTTTGTGGGAAAACGGGAAAAAATCCAAAGGACCATTGCTGTGGGTCTGTTAGGAGGCACAGAGATACAGAAACCACTCAGAAAACACGGCGGGCGGGCGGGCGGGGCGGTTAATGGAGTTTGTTTTATTTGTGAACATGGTGGCAAGGCATAGCTCCCCTGCCTTCTGGAACTCCTTGTATTTTTAACTCCCATGCATTTCAAAGCTGGTGTTCTTGTGAGGCTGGCCCGGTGCCCAGTGGGCAGGGCAGGGAGAGCCTGGTTTAGAGACCTGAGCTCCAGGGCACCTGGGCTTGGCCGCCTGAGCCCCTCCCCCAAGCTTCCTCCTCTTCCTCCCATCACTGTGGTCTCCAGGTCCTCCTCTCCCCGGTTTTCTCGTCCCATGATCTCATCCATTACCGTGCCACACGTGTCCCCTCCGCCCTGACGCTGGCTGGCTGCCCCCGTGTGTCATCCCCACGCACACACCTGGCCAGGGCGACCGAGGCCTCTACAGAGTCGCCCTGCGGCGTGACCCTGTGGCTGTGCGGCCTTGGAGAGGCTCTCTTCCCTCCCTGAGCCTCGGCGTCCTGGGTGTGAGACATGAGCATCCGTCCCTCAAGCTGGCAACGTCACTGTGAACGCACACCCTGCGCCCGGCCATGGTGGGCACCCGGATGATGGGAACTACCGTTGGCTCCTGCTGAGTTCCCTTCCCCAGGACGCGCCCAGACCTGGCTGCCTTCCTCCCCTCCTCCCCACCGATTGCTGGTTTCTCCACTGCGGCCCCTCACGGCTGGTCGGCTCCACGCCCCCGACAGCTCACCCCCCTCGCCATTGGTCCCTTCCACACCCCCCACAGCTCACCCCCCTCGCCATTGGTCCCTTCCACACCCCCCACAGCTCACCCCCCTCGCCATTGGTCCCTTCCACACCCCCCACAGCTCACCCTCCTTGCCATTGGTCCCTTCCACACCCCCCACAGCTCACCCCCCTCGCCATTGGTCCCTTCCACACCCCCCACAGCTCACCCTCCTTGCCATTGGTCCCTTCCACACCCCCTACAGCTCACCCCCCTCGCCATTGGTCCCTTCCACACCCCCCACAGCTCACCCCCCTCCCCATTGGTCCTCTCCACACCCCCCACAGCTCACTCCCCTTGCCATTGGTTGGTTCCATGTTCCCCATAACTCGGGCGGGTTCACAGGTGCTCATCAGCGACTTAGCCAGTAACACCCCGTCCTCACCCTGCAGTAGCTTGCTGCGTGAGCGGCTGCATTTCCTGTCCTGAAGCTCCGTCCCCTCTCACCCTGGATTCTTCCAGCTCTCGTCCCATTCAGCCCCCGAATCCCCTCTCCCAGGAGAGCTCAGGTTGGGGCTGCATCTCTTAGCTCTCAGCTGCCCGGGACAGTGGCCACCAGCCACGGTAGGCGATGGGCCACTTGACACATGGTTTAAGTGTGAAATACACATCAGACCATGAAGGTGTAATACCAGAAAAGACGGTGAAATACTCCTTTAGTTGTTGTATTGATTACACGTGAGAGGACGCTTTGGGTGTTTGGGGCTCAATGGAATTAAAGTGAATTTCGCCTGTTGTCCTTGCGCGTGTTCATACTACTGCTGGGAAATGTGGAATTCTCCCCCTGGCCGGCCTGGCCTCTTGGGTGGACAGAGCCCATCTTGGGTACCTCTGCGGGGGTGCTGGGGCCATGGTCCCCTCCCTGGCTCTCGTCGCTCTTCGACAGATGTTCACGCTCATTCTCCCGTTTATTCACTTGGGCATGAATTCCGTGTCTCCTGGTGTCCCGTGTGTCACCGGCCCTGTCATGGGCAAGACGGAGGCAGAGGCTCCCCAGGTGCAGCCCAAGATCATGCTGGCACTCTCGGCAGCCCTGGCAGGGCAGTGGTGTGGGTCAGGGTCCCTGCCGACCAGCCTCGCACCACACCTGCAGCCTGCCCTGCCTGGCCAGGGCAGCCCCAGGGCTGCCGTGGGGTGGGACTGGAAGGCAAGGCCTGAGGGGCCCCTCTGGGAAGAGGAATCTGGGGCCCGGTGTAGAACCTAGCCAGCCTCCATCAGGCAGCCTTCTGGCGCTGAGCCGGCTCTGGCGCCTGGCTGTCCTCGGTAAAAATCCCGGCCGCGGCTCTGCTGGATGCCGGGTGCAGAGGGCGACTGGAGTGCCCGTGCTGCACGGGACCTCATGCCACATGCTCCTGGCCGCCATCGCCGCATCTCTAGAGCTCAGAGAAACAGCAGTAGCATGCCCCGGGCTTCCAGCAAAGCCATCCGATCCACCCTCAAAGGGCTCACGGACCACCGGGGGCTACCGGCTGTCAGGTGCAAGCCCACTGCCATGGGCATGGGCACACTGCGCAGGGGCCGCCTGGAGCGGGGCAGGGGCTTGGCCTCAGGCTCGGCCACTGCTGCCAGCCAGGTCGGTCTGGAAGGAGCCACCACGTTCGCCCAGGTCAGATGTGTCGTCAGGGGACTGTGCGCCTCTGGCTTCTCCACTCTCTCTGCTGCTCACCTGAGCACCTGCGGATAGCGAGAACCCAACCCAGAGAATACCGTGTGGCCACATGAACCAGGCGCTTTCCAGCAAAGTCGGCCTTTTTGGAAAACAGACAACAAATAAACGCCATCCGTCATGTGGGGCTGTGGTTTGTAAGCAAAACAGCTGAGGATGGGGGAGAGGAGGGGAGTGCGCCTGCCCCCCAGAGGGAATCGGGGGGCTCCTCTGCCCTCCCCTGCTCCCCACTGGGGGCCCAGGCTGGCTGCACTCCCACCCTCGAGGCACACTCGGCCAACTGTCTCGTATTATTCCTGCGTCCTTACCTGTGGTGACCAAGATCTGACACGGGGGTGCGGCTCATGGCTCGTGATGCAAACATGAGCTTTGGGGGTGCGGCAGTCAGCCGCCACTCGGGGATCCCGGATGCAGTGTCTGGTTCAAGTCCCACCTCAGCTCCACTCCAGACTCCTGCCAGTGTGCACCCTGGGGATAGCAGATGGTGGCTCAAGTACTTGAGCCCCTGCCACCCATGCGGAAGACCCAGATGGAGTTCCAGGCTCCTGGCTTCGGCCTGGCCCAGCCCTGACGGCCTTAGCCCTTTGCCCTCAAGTCCTCGAATTGTGCCGAGCATCAGGTTGTGCGGAACGCCTGCACCCTTCTTCTGACACTGCAGGGGCGCGGCCAGCTTGCAGGATGCAGGAGGTTCTGGTGGAGGTGGAGGTGTGGACTGAGCACTGCCCCCGGACTGAGCAGGCCAGGTCCTGACTACCCAGAGAACCCCAGCACCGCAGAGGGGCAAAGACCACAGGGCCAACCCCGTGTCCTCCCTGGGATGCACGGGCTCCTGCTGCATCTTCCTGCTGTGGATTCGTTCTGAGAGAAGGAGCATGGTGGGGGCAAGAGGCGCAGAGTCACCACACAGACCCCGGGAGTCAGGTGAAAGCGGGCCAGAAGCGAGCAGCCCACAGACTCGTTTATTTCAGTTGCTGCAGCAGCTTATATAGCCGAGGCAGCCAATCCGGTCAAGGGGCGGTCTATGCCCTAACCAATCACAGCCTGTTGCCAGGCAGGCTCCATTGCCAGGTGGTTTCTGAAGCCATTCCTCCTTTTCCCAGGAACGTTTGTGAAAGTCTCCCCTTAGCCGCACCCCAAAGTAGATGCAGCCTGGTGGCCCTGCTCATTTCGGACGGAAGTCACCACGGAACCTTGCAGTGCGGTTTTCCGAGCAGCTGCCCCCACGCCAGCACGGGAGCCTGAGTCTGCACGCCCGGCCAGGACCGAGGCCAGCTCTGCTGTCCCGAGCGCCGTGTTTCCGTTCCAGGCCGCAGGGACAGGAGAGGCGCCCGGCTCGCTTTGTACGCTAACTTGAAAGCCACTCTGAGGAAGCTTAACCGATGTTTCCCTTCTCTTTCCTCCCCAATGTCTGCCTCCCGGCCCGCCCCGCTCGCTCGCTCGCTCGCTCCAGGATCTGCGCAAGCAGGTAGCGCCGCTGCTGAAGAGCTTCCAGGGAGAGGTAAGCCTCCATGTTTCTTTTCTCTGCCGAGCCCCCCAGTGGGTCTCTGGGCTTGCACAGCGGCGGGGCGCTAACCCGAGTGGAAGCCGCTCACCTGCACCAACCCTGTGTCCCGCACTTGGCATTGGGATTTACCCCCCGCCCGTCCTGGTGAAGGGGGCCGGGTTGGAATGCCAGGCAGGCGGTGCTGTGGGTGCAGAGGGACACGCCCCTGGGCTGCCCTCGCTACCGTGGGGTGCACGAACCTCCTGGGGGCAGTCTCCGTGTTCCCCGAGCTGGTCTGGGCTGCCGTCACCGTGAAGCCACCCACGTGGAACAGATGACTGGGGCCGTGGGAGTCGGGTAGGAATCCCAGGATCCCACGTGACTCCAGCCAAGAGTCACAGGAGGACATCGGGGCACAGTCTAAGGAAGTGTTTCCTGTAGATCCTTCCAGAAGAGGGCTGAGCTGTCTGGCAGAGGGGTGGGGTGTCCACCCTGGCTCCCTGCTAATGGGAGCAGTGTCCACAATGGGGAGCGGGGAGGGTTTTGGGGGTGGCACTCACGCCCCTTCCCAACGCTTTGTGTAGAGGTCCCGTGAGTTCCAGAAACCCAGGCGCGTGTGGGCTTGCTGGCTCTCACCTGCTTAGCCTCTCCTGTTGGAAAAGTGGGAATTGCGACAACGCCAGGCTGTGATGAGTACAGGGAGCGAGAGTCAAAGAACTGTGCTGGCCTGTCCTTGGGAATGCGATGTTTTTCCAAGTGCACAAGTCACAGAGGACTCACAGAGTGTGGGGGAGGAGAGAGGCAGAAGGTTCAGCCTGGGGCAAGTGACCCAGGGTGGCACCTCCTGAGGACACAGGTCCCAGGGGTAGGGTTCCGGGGCCTGAGCTCCCAGGTCGGTGACTGGGGCTGACAGGTTCATGGCAGACAGGTGACAGCAGAGGGTGAGGGGAGGAGGAGGTGGAATGAGAAGACATTTTTTTTAAAGGTATATTCATTTAGAAAAAGTTGAAGAAGAAAGAAAGAGACAATCTTCTCTCCACCGTTCAGTCTTCAGATGGCTGCAATGCCAGGGCTGGGCCAGGCCAAAGCCAGGAGCTTCATCCGGGTCTCCACGTGGGTACAGAGGCCCAACAAACGCTTTGACCATCTTCTGCTGCTTCCCAGGCCGTTAGGGTGTTGGAGTGGAGTGGAGTGTAGCAGCTGGGAGAGGAGCTGGGACCCCTAGGGGCTGCCCATGTCTCAGGCCACAGTGCCGGCCCCAAGGGTCCGGGACGTTCGGGGGATCCCTGTAGAAAGAGGGATGCAGCTGTGGTTGGGGGTAAGGGCTGAGGCTTCTAGAAGGCAGGATAGTCTTGTCTCTGTTCAGTCTCTGGCCTCCACGCCCCCCCCCCCCACCCACCGTGCGCGCTCAGCCTGGGAAGACACAGGACGCCCTCATCGCAGGTCTCCATGGCCGGCCTGGCCTTTTCCCCCACCACGTTTGCTCTTCCGTGTTCCTTCTCCTGTCGGGCAGCTTTGGAAGGACCCCCGGGCGTGGGGTTCCTCCGGCCGAGAGCACCCAGTGCGCCTTGTCTTATGGGTGTCTGCTTCCCTCCCTTCCTGCAATGGTGCAGCGGGCGCCCTCACAGCCACGCGGGCCCCTCCCGCCCCTGTGCCGAGCATCCGGAAGTCAGCCGCAGCGAGCGGGGCATTGTATCCGAGACACACGCGTGCGGCTTAAGGAGATGTCAGCACTCCCCGTGTTCCCGCACCACCCCCAACACCACAGCCAGGGACATTAACATAATTCCAAATCAGATGTCCCCTCCCGAGCTGAGCCGGGACACGTGCGCCCGTGGCGTCCCTGTGACTAAACAAGGATCTTCAGAACATTCACGGAGAAAAACTGTACGGATTTCAATTCTTTGTACCAAAATAAAACTTCTTTCTAATTCAAGAGGCTGAGACAGACAGAGCGTGTGCCCATCCCCTGGTTCTTTCCCCCGGATGCCTGCAGTGCAGTGTGCGGGCCAAGCCGAAGCCAGGAGCCCTGAACTCATACCAGGTCTCCCACGTGGGTGGCAGGGGCCCCGGTACTTGAGCCCTCACCTGCTGCCCCCCAAGGTCTGCTGTCGCTGGAAGCTGTGGATCGGAAGAGAGGCGGGACTCAAACACGAGCCCCCGGTGCAGGATCCGGGCATCCCCAGTGGCGTCTGGGCAGCTGTGCCGACACCTGTTCCTGAGCTGAGGTTTCAGCTGCCTGGCCCGCTAGCTCCATCGTTCCCCCTCGTATCTTTGCGTGTGTTTAATGCTGACACGCTTTCTGGCCCTCCTCCCCACCTGTATTTTCCTTTTTCATTACATTGATTTTTTTTTCCTTGAAGAAGCCACACCAGCGATGGGTTCCTCCATCCTCTGGATGGGGGGGAATAGTAGATTGGGTTCTGGTTAACATTAAACTTGAGAAGCCAGAGAGACATGTGGGCTTCCCCATTTGCCTGCTTCGTAAAGGCTATTTAAAAGGCAGATACATTTTAGCACTGTTAATTAATATTTATGGAGCCTTTGCCAGTTGCCGTGTTCTTAGTGAATTTTGTTGCGTGTATGCCGGGTGTACAACAGGGTAGGATGTATAGGGAGATAGTAGAGTGGTTACTGCAGTGGGACAGGTCGGCGCGTCCATCCGCTCACATGGTTAGGCCCCGCCCCGCGGCAGGGGCAGCCGGAGCCTGCTCACTGAGTTTACTGACCACAGTAAACCCCAGGTCCTACCTGAGGTCCCCAGACTTGGCCACCTGCGTGCCTGCTGCCTTGGGTCCCTTGTCCACCCACACTGGTCTGTTTCCCCTAAGGGGTCTGCGCTGGGAAGTGAGCTGGTTTTCAGGGAAGGGGTGAACTCCTGCCTGTTTCTGAAAGGCGGAGAGGAGCCACGCGTGCAGGGAGCAAGGCCAGAGGGCAGTGTGTGCCGGCGCCCGCGAGGGGCCAGGCCTGCTCCCCGCGGTTACCCCAAGAGCCGCAGCCTCTGACCAGAGCTTCTCCTGCTGCGGCGGGGTCTGCCAGAGGGGGTTTATCCCCTGGATGGAGCCTGAGCCCGCCCTAAGGTTTCCTGAGGAAACGCGTGGAACTTGGACAGATTGCTTCCTTCTGCGAGGTCCCCGACAAGAGCCACAGGCGGGTCTCTGCCATCGAGGACTTCACCTTGGACTTGAGGGTCCCGCGGGAGCCTGCATGAGCAGCTCGTTGTGATGGTCTGGGAACACTGACCTGCGCGGGGTGGGACTCTCGCTCCAAGCTCAGCCCACTTCCTCTCTGTGGTCCGTGAGACGGCTTGCCTTTGGCGCCTTCTCCCGTGGCTCTCCACCATCACCCTCTCCATGCCAGCCACCCCCAGTCTCTGCCCTCCCTCGCCTGTCCCCAGGCCTCTGCTTCCCGAAACCCCTACTCTCTCCTCCCCCATACCCAGCCCACTTCCTCTTGGCCTCTCCTCTGTCTAGCAAGGCCCCCTCCCCAAGAAATGAAAGGCTAGGCTCCTGACACCAACCGTGGTGCTTGTCACCACCTCCGGGGCCTCCTGTGACTCTGGCCACATCCCTCTCCGGTCCTAAGATGAGTGAAAGCAGCCCCTCACCCCGGGGTCCAGCCAGGTTCACCCTTGTGGTCCGAGGATCTGCTCAGCTCCTGAGTGCTTGGGCTCCCCAGATGGTTAGGACCCGTGAGGCGAGAGGCCCTGGCTGCTGCTGGTGAGGTGAGAGAGGTCCCGTACGATGTGCTCAGGAGCCACTGAGCACCGTGTGAGCTGTCTTTGATGAAGAAGTGTTGGCCAGCGTCGCGGCTCACTAGGCTAATCCTCCGCCTTGCGGCGCCGGCACACCGGGTTCTAGTCCCAGTCAGGGCGCCGGATTCTGTCCCGGTTGCCCCTCTTCCAGGCCAGCTCTCTGCTGTGGCCCGGGAGTGCAGTGGAGGATGGCCCAAGTGCTTGGGCCCTGTACCCCATGGGAGACCAGAAGAAGCACCTGGCTCCTGCCATCGGATCAGCACAGTGCACCGGTGGCGGCGGCCATTGGAGGGTGAACCAACGGCAAAGGAAGACCTTTCTCTCTCTCTCTCTCTCACTGTCCACTCTGCCTGTCAAAAAAAAAAAAAAAAAAGTGTTGAAATGCCGTCATCACACAGATCATTTAGGGTTCTCCTTGTGAACCCACACGGAAATGGGCTTGCTCTACCCGACCCCCAGTGTGTCACCAGCCCAGCCAACCGCTAGGGACAGTGGGTTCATTCCATTTGGAAGATATCTGGCCCGACAGGAACTGAAGCAGCCCCTTGGGCGCAGCAGCCCTCGCTGTCAGAGGAGCTGGGCTTGCAGCCATGGTCCCTGCTCCTTGCTTCTCTCCCTGAGAAGAGTCTTGGTCTGGGAGGTTGATGGGTGAGGGTCTGGCTTAGGCAGCCTCTTGGCAGTAGGAGACCTGGGGTCCATAAGCCCAGTGTCCTGCAGGAGGACGTGCCTCCTAAGAACCAACGTGAATGCTTTTCCTTGAGTGGGGACACCGAAGACGGGAAATCCATGCTTTCCAAAAATACAGCAGGATGCGCTCCAGTCAGAAGAAGGGCATAACAAGTGCAATCGATAATAAAAGCCCTCAGAAGAGAAACGAAGTCAGGGAGAGAAACAGCCTCCAACTTGGGTCTTTCCAAAGACAGCCATGATTGACAAGTCACTCCTCCAGTGGAGACACCAGGGGGAGGGATAAGTGGGCGAGCATCCCGGCCGATGCCCAGGTGAGTGGAGGAGGATGGGAAGCCATTGTACGCCAGTCCGTATGAAAGCTTAGCCAGAATGGAGCAACTCTTAGAATACCATCAGCACAGCCGGTGGACGAGGGAGCATGAAGGCCGACCGGCCCCGGAGCTGTCAGATTCCCATGCGGCCCAGACGGTGTGCTGGGAGCGTTTGTCAGCTCTTGGCGGAAAAGGTCGTTCCGATCTTTTGCTAGACTTCTTCAGAAAAGAGGAAACACTTTTCTAACTCATTTTCTGAA